AACCGGCAACCTTCCGATTACAAGGCGAACTCCCAACTCTTGAGCCACGATCGCCCTATAAAGAAGCTGAAGTGTCTGCTAAAAAAAGGGGAGGGGGGCGGGGTGAAGAAGCTATGCTGTCAGCTGAAAAGAGGTCAAGAAGATTAAGTGGTGATGAAAAAGGAGAAAAGGATGAACGGGCTGCTGAAGACAACTGACGAAGCTGAAGTCCATATTAGAAAAGTTATAAATTCACAAAAATATTGACCAATGAAAACAGTCAGCTGAAAAAAACTGAACAAGCTGAAGTTTCGTTAAAAGTAGTAGTTGTTTAATGGTGAGCAATTTTACCTACTAAATCAGGTAAAAAGTCTGAGAAATCAGACAGAAACTCTGTGTAAGGCCCAGGTGGATGATAGATGATCAAACATTTGGGTATTCCAGCTGAGGTGGACAAGGCTAAGCTCTTTGGTGCAGTTGTGGCTACTGTAATATTCTTTCTTTGTGATTTGTTTATGTTTAAGTAATTTTCGTTTGTTTTTTGTTTGTTCCTGGTGTGAACTGGTTGCTGAAATACAGAATAAATCATTATTTTGACTAATTATTAAATCATTCACTAACAGGTCTGTGTAGGTTCTCAGTCATCCAACTCGTGGTAGTCTGTGGAGCTTGGAAAGAAAGCAGCTGGACTTCTTTAACTTTCATGAAGATGTTTCACCTTCCATCCAAGAAGTTTCTTTAAAGCCATCCAGGACATCCTCTCACACACTGAGTTCGGCTAAACATGACACGCATGTTGTTACAGAGGAAACACATGAACCCGAACTGCAGTCCAAAGAACTTTATTGCAGTTCTGTAATACTGAGGAGTAAAGCTAAATTATTTATTTTAAGCTTATTTTATGGATATAAAACATTGAAAATTGCAGTGTGCTGTTAGGGTCAGAGTGAGGGCACAGTGGGGACTCTTTCATCATGTATACTGTGTGTTTGCACGTTAATGAGTCCCAGACGAGCTCCTCATTCTTCCATCCTCCACAGCAACTGTGATGCAACACAAGGCTCGGCCTCGGAGGCCTGTGGCCAGTCAGAAAAAATGGAACTAAACTGACACACCTCAAAAATGCAACAACTGATTAATATGCAGTATTGTCCACATTATTTTCCTTTTTATGAAGGAATGTAGCAAACTTTGTGTTTGTGTGGTTGTTGCAGGAAACAAAACAGCTTTCTTGTGGTCACCTCACAGGAGCATAAACACCAAAGCAGAGTCCCAAAGCCGCTCTGAAGAGTCCCCTTCCATTATTCCCCGTGCTGTACTGTGTGTTAATTGGCCTGTAGCTGGTTCAATCCTCCAGAGTGTCCGAGTGGCCACAGGCCTCTGAGGTCGGGCCTTGTTTTGCATCACAGTGCTGTTGATGAAACAATGAGAAGCTCGTCTGAGACTCATTAATGTGCAAAGACACAGTATACATGATGGAAGATACCCCACTGTGCCCTCACTCTGACCCGAACATCACACTGCATTTTTCAATGTGCTATATGCAAAAATAATAATCCTAAAATACAGAACAAGCTGCTTTGAATTTTTACTTTTGGACATTGTTTGTTTTGTTTTTTGTATTGAATATTTTGTAGTTGGTATTTTACTAGGCTATAACATTACTGCTGATTGAACTACTGATGCCTGTCTTAGCCACAACGCTTTTGCTAAAGAGATTTTTATTTTCAAGATTCATATTTTCCTCGTTAAACAAAAATTAAATAAAAATTGTGTCCATCCTTCCATCTTCTTCAGCTTATGCAGGCCCGGGTCGCGGGGGCAGCAGCATAAGCAGAGAAGCCCCCCAGCTTGTCTGGGGGAACAACAAGGTGTTCCTAGGCCAGCCAAGACATATGATCTCTCCGGCATGTCCTGGGTCTGCTGCGAACATTCTAGTGCGAGCTGGAGGCCATCACCCGATGAAGCCAACAGAACCCCATCATCCACAAAAAGCAGGGATGAGATTCTGAGGCCACCTAAGTAAAAGCCCTCCGACACTTGGCTGTGCCTAGAAATTCTGTCTATAAAGATTATGAACAGAATCGGTGACAACTGGCAGCTGTGGCGCAGCCCATCACCCACCAGGAACGAGTCCGACTTATTGCCAGCTTTGCAGACAGAGCTCTTGCAACGGTTGTATAAGGACTGAATGGCTCGTAGCAATTGTCCAGACACCCCATACTCCCGGAGCACCCCCCACAAGACCCCCCGAGGGACCTGTGGTTTAGACTGAGAAGACTAATGCCTTCTCCAAGTCCACAAAAAACATGTAGACTGGTTGGGCAAACTCCCATGCACCCTCAAGTATCCTGGAGAGGATAAAGAGCTGGTCCAGTGTTCCGCAACCAGGACGAAAACCGCATTGTTCCTCCTGTATCCGAGGTTCGACTAACGGACGCACTCTCCTTTCCAGCCCCCTGGCATAGACTTTCCCAGGGAGGCTGCGGAGTGTGATTCCCCTGTAGTTGGAACACACCCTCCGGTCCCCTTTATCAAAGATGGGGACCACCACCCCGGTCTGCCTGTCCAGGGGTACTGCCCCTGATCTCCACGCAACATTGTAGAGGCGTGTCAACCAAGACCGCCCTACAACGTCCAGAGCCTTCAGGAACTCGGGGCGGACCTCATCCACCCCAGGGGCTCTGCCACCAAGAAGTTGTTTAGCTGCCTCAGTGACCTCGCCCCCAGAGATTGGCGGGTCATGCCCTTTGTCCTCAGACTCTGCTGGGGATTAAGGAGGTCCTCAACATATTCCTTCCGCTGCCCGACAATTTTCTCAGTCGACGTCAGCAGCGCTCCGCCAGCACTATACACAGTGCAGGTAGAGCACCGCTTTCCCCTCCTGAGACGCCTGACGGTTTGCCAGAATCTCTTCGAGGCAGTCCGAACATCTTTTTCCATGGCCTCTCCGAACTCCTAACACACCCGAGTTTTTGCTTCAGCCACTGCCCGTGGCGCGTTCCATTTGGCCTGTGGGTTCCCTATCAGCTGCCTCCGAGGTCACACAGGCTAACCAAGCCTGAAAGGAAAGATCCCTTAAAAAATATAATTTTTTAAACTCCTCCACTTGGGACACCAACTCTTCCCTGACCTGAAGTGTTCACCCAAACCAAGGCCTCAGACTTGGAGGTGTTCATTCTCCTTCCTGCCGCTTCACACTCAGCAGTAAACTACTTCACTGACAGGTGGAGGCCACTACCTTATACAGCCAAAACAACCGCATAGTCTGCAACCAACATAGAAGAGATCCTGATGCCACCAAGGTGAAAAACTTCCATCACTTGTCCCACCTGGAAATTCTGTCCATAAAAACAGTGAACGTAGTCGGTGACAAACAGCAGGCAGTTTTGTAAAGAAGCTGGTGTCATTCCAAGCTTCTCACATACGACACAAGATGTAAGAGATCTAACAGGCCGCACAGCACAACTGCCAACAACACAGCTGAACGCATGTCATCGTTCCACCTACAGGGTTACTGGAACAAGCATTGTTGGTGCCTGAAAGCAAACAGGAAGTAAAACTGAAAGTAAAGATCAAAACACAAAAGTCTAAAAACAGGACACAAACTGCAGTGTGCTGTTTGAATTTAGCATCGGGGCTTTAGCATTAGTTCATCAACACAGTGATGTTCATACACACTGCATTCTTTACATTTTCCCACAGTGTGTCTGTTATTTCGACCATGTGTTCTGTGATATTCAGCTGGTCACACCAACAGGGTTGCAAAGTGGTCGCGTCAGACGGAGAGTATTAAAGTGCTCAGTCAGATCAGCAGGGACAGGTGGATGGAGGAATGGATGGAGGTGGATCAGGGTTTGACACCATCCACCTGCAATCGAGGCACACAGTCAGCAAGTCAAGCCTGCTCATTTATTTCCATTCAGGAACAATTAGGTAACCTCTGACTCTTTATGAATAATCTTTCATAAAAGTCTTCATTCTTCTTTATATGCAGCAGAGAGTTCCCGTACTCTAATATTTCTGAGGAACTGACTGATTTTTCACTGAACCCTGTGATTGTTCTGAGTGTGCTTTCAGTGTTGTCTTCAATGTGAACCCTGTGAACTCTGAGAGGACACATGAGCTGCCTCGGCTGTGAGTGAGGTTTGTTTGCTGTGATCATTTGTGCTGCTCGTGTGTTTTTCACTAACAACTGATGTTGAGCCAGTTCAAACTTTCCATGCGGTGGAAAGCACACCACACCGTCTGAGTCTCCTGTTTTTATCAGATTTTTATCGCTTCTTAACTGTTGTTACTTGAATATCAAACATACTAAAGTTGACCTTTGAGTCAAAGGCAAGGTAGAAAAAAACATACAAGAATGGTGAGAAGTGAAGAGGGGAGGGAGGGCTCCACTGACATGAAATAGCTGAGAGTCTGAACCGCAAGTAGAATTAAAATGTGACTACAAAGTAAAGAAAGAGTGAGGTGGAAATCATACAACTGTGTAATGAAGATTTCTCCTGCCTGATTTCATAAATCCTCTAACATTTGTAGGTTCAGCTTCCAATATTTATGTCATGGATAAAGCTTATGTACGTAGTTCTGAATAAGAAAAGAGTCCATGTGAAAACTGTGAAGGAGCTCCTTGATTCAATCAGCATCTGACAAACAGAAACAGCTCTAACTGTTGAATGTTTATTGTAGATCGTCCTTGAGCCACATTCATGGATTTCAGAATTCTGTGGACACACATAAAACATGGCGCACCATCTCTGTTTAGAAGATATCAATGTGTGTAAAGACGACTGTTGTATGTATCACACTTTCATGCAAGAGGCCTAAACAGTGACACTGGTGTTGCAGCAGTTTGTCGTTCATGGCAGGGTTGGGACTTTGTGGTTCCTCGGTTGTTTCTAAAGATCTTAACTCATTTCCTCTTATCTGTGAGTGAGAGTTTGGACTTTCCCATTGCTCTGAGTATTGGTCAGTCTACTGAGTGCTGCTAAACAAATTATTTTTATGCTGCAAAGAGAAACTACAAGCTGTATTCTATAAAAAGGGGTTAACCGTCTGTTAGCCAACCCTGGAAGGTTGAAGTGTCAACAGAACACAGAGTCTGTGTCTTTGGCTCCAGCTTTCTTTATCAGTTCTTTCAATTTGTATTAAACCACTGTGGATTATTCTGATTTTGTGTCTCATTTCAGCCTGATCCAGCTAAAAACTAGGAGGGTTGGGGAGGCGACAGAGATGGAGGCAGTGAAGGAGAACGTCTCCTCACACAAATATTTCTTCCTGGATGGCTTTAGTGAACTCGGAGAGCTGAGGCCGTTCCTCTTCATCCCGTTCTCCTTCATGTTTGTTGTGTCACTGTTTGCTAACTCCCTGCTGGTGTACGTGATCGTTTCACAGAGAAGCCTCCACTCGCCGATGTACATCCTCATTGCCAGCATGGCGTGCATTGACCTCAGCCTCCCTGTATTCTTTGTTCCCCACATGCTGCTGAGCTTCCTGTTTGACTGGAGGGGGATCTCTCTCATCGGCTGCCTTTTTCAGATGTATTTCATTCACTTGTTAGGAGCCTTTCAGTCCACTCTGCTGCTGTGGATGGCTCTAGATCGTTACTTTGCCATCTGCACCCCACTCCACTATCAAGAACAAATGGCTTTAGCAAGATTTCTTAAATTTGTAATCCCTTTTTCCATCAGAAATATGTTTGCTGTCTTGGTGGTGGTCAGTCTGGCTGGAAAATTGCCATTCTGTCTGAGAAATGTGATAAACCACTGCTTCTGTGAGCACATGGCCTTGGTGGAGCTGGCCTGTGGAAGCACCACCATTAACAGCCTGGTGGGGTTGATCTCAGTCTTCTCTGTCCCTGTGACTGACTTCTTCCTCATCACTGCCTCTTACACAGTCATATTCAGCTCTGTGTTGAGCTCAGGAAAGTCAAGTGCCAAAGCTCTTCACACCTGTGTAACGCACATCGTGGTCATGACTGTTAGTCTGACCATCATACTCACAGCTTTCCTCTCATATCGAATAAGAAACGGTCTCCCTGCAGCCATTAGGATTTTCTTCAGCATACTGTACCTGTTCTTTCCAAGCTGTTTCAACCCGATCATCTACGGCATCAGAACTAAGGAGATCCGACAGCACATCCTCAATACACTGAGAGTCTGAATCTATTTTTTTCAGAGCAAATATAAATATTTCAATAACTTGGAATTTTCTTTATATTTATTAAACATATAGTTGGAATCATGTAATAAAATATGATGCCTTACATATTTGCAATTCATTTTATTTTGTATGGTATGTATTTGACAATCAGATGCTGAGAAGAACATTACCATATAGATATTAACTATGACTATAACATAGCAGTTGAATAAATCGGGGGGAGGTTTAAACATCTGCATCTTCATGTCTTTAGAGACGCTGGCAATCAGAATGGTGTAGTACAGCAATACAGTCACCAGGTGTCAGTGTGCTGCTATCACACCTGCTATGTATGCTACACCACTCAGATAAAACATTACACTCAAGCAGTGTATCTACTCTGGTCCAAAGAAATCCCACTTTGTACGGATGTCCACAATTTTTCCCTTTTTATCTCCTCTCACATTCATGAAGCACCGTGAAAACTAGAAAAAATACTTTTAATAGTACATATGGCATCCGTCTCAGCCACTTATTTCTTTTAAGAAAGTGCACAGATGCTCAACAAAATTAACCAGCATAATTTAATTGTGCACACCCTGTAGAGCAGCAGTAGAACAGTTGTGTTATCGTTCTGTCTTGACTCTCTTCTGCTTCCTGTGACTCATGGAGGAGGAGACTACTCTACAATGATCATCATTCCATTCTAAGAAAAAAATGTACGTCACTGGACTCGTAAATTATCTTTTTCCACTAGAAGTGTACACAAACTGAACCCAAATCAAAGGAAAAAGTCTGAAATCAATGTGACGATCTCACATGCTGGCTTCTGGTATTGTCTGTTGTTCTGGCAACCCACTCCATCACATTTTAGAGCCAGCTTCATTTCATTTTTCCACCTTTCTCAGAGCTATTTAGAAGATCAGCACATCCATCAGGTCTCAGGTCTCAGAAAAAAGCCTTCTGGTCTAAGGGCTCAGAATTTTTTTTTTCAGGTCTCAGGTTCCAGACAAAAACCCATCAGGTCCGAGGTCTCAGAAGTAAGGTGTCAGGTCTCAGAACACAAGCTATCAGACTGAGAGTAGCTTCCTGCAGGTGGCACTGTTGTCAGGTCCCAGCCTAATAGATTTCCAATTACATCATCAACGTGTGACAGTGAAAGAAAGAAGAATTCTACCACAGGATTTGAATGTTTTTTGTTGGGTTTTTTGTCTTTCTTGTTTTGTTTTTTTGTCATTTCAGTCCACACTCCAAACCAGTTTGTGGCGGTAATCCACCATTTTGCTGTTTACCAACCGCCAATAAACAATATGAAGATGAAGAATTCTACCACAGCTCAGACCAATGACTGTAGAAAACATGGACGACGCGAAGGCTCCCCAAAAATGAAGCCAAAACGTCTCTATCGCCCCCTGGTGTCTGGCTGCAGCATAGGGCATAGGTCATAAACCCCGCCTCCTCCGTCTTAGTGGATGGGACTGGGGTCAGACTAAAATAAATTAATTCTCCTCAGATAATTTTTTTCAAAAGTTTCTTTCTTTTGTTATCAATAGTTCTCATCACGCTGATTTATGTCCAAGGGGTCTCCTCTCCCATAAGTCTGATTCTAATTCCTACCGCGGTGATGTTAAATTGGGGTGAAACGTCATCATAAGAGCTTTGACTGACAGCTGCAGTCACGGAGAAACTTACGTATCGTACGCATAGCGTACGCTCTGAGAGGAGGGCCGGCGTTTATGCTATGAAAGCACGACCGAGTGTTTTAACCTGACAGCCTGAGGTGTTCTTCAGTAAACTGGACTACCCGACAGAAGGACCCGAGGCCCCGCTGCACTTTTTCAGTAAGTTAAACGTGTTGATGCACTCAGCTGCATGAAGAGCACATGAGATTTTCTCTGACACAATTAAATAAAACCTGATGAAGGTCAAAGGTCGTCACTTGTATATTGAACTACAAACTTGTCATCTGGAATTCTTTCAGTTTTTTGCAGATGGTGGGTTATTTACCATAAAGTGATTCAGAGTTATTCATACCAGAGTAACCAGAGAGGATCATATCTTTTTAAATATATAACTTTCTACAGGACTGAATATAATATCTTTATGTAAAAGTCCGGAGCCTCTGGGGAGTATCTGAGTATTTATAACATTACACAAACCAAGGGTCTCCATCACAGTGTTGATGAAATGCTGGGTTTATCCATCTCCTGGGGCGGGCCTACAGAGGAGTGCTGAAGATTTCCCTGTGAGGGAGCTGCTGGTGAAGATCATGAGTCCTGCTTGATCAGTGCGATGAGCTTCAGTCTTCCTGGTGTTGCTTAAATGATGCCTCTCTCTCAGCGGGTCAACAGAACATCTGGCACAGGACAGCTGTGATGAAAGAAAGGGAAGAAGTTTCTCCAAACCTTTGGACCCAGAAACCCAGCTTGGTCCTGATGGTCTCCCTCACTAGTTTCTCTCCAGGGTGAATGTAGCTGTTGATATAATATGGACTCTATTATTAAATGAAAAGAACAAATTAGACTACACTACTGAGACGTTCTGCTGCTGTTTTAAAGTCTCCATGTTACCAGGATGTAGAGGGCTCTGAAGATTTAAACAGTTTTAGATGCATTACACTCACAGTCTTATGTTAAAATCTCAAAGGACAGCGTTACATTTTTGATATTAACAGTAACTCTGGGCCTCTGTAGAGTGTGCAGCTCACCGCTGTCTAAATATGTATAACAAAACCTAAGGAGTCCTGAATCCTTCAATAACACTGACTATTAGAGTAACAGGTGTGTAGCATCGCTAACTAGCTAGCAACAAGCCTCCAACACATTGCGTGTGATAGCAGCTAATCTAGCAAACGAATTAACAACAGAGTGATTTTAGATGTTGTAGAACTATAAGATGTTAAGCTATGTGTCTTTTTCATAACAGTGAACTGGTTGTATTTACCTTAATTTAACGAGTCGTCAGTCACGGTAAACCCATCAGCAAAAAACTGGAGCAGCTGGGCTACGTAAAAAGTGTAGGGGGGCGTGTTTGCGGTCATGTCCAGTGGCATGGCGTGACGCAGTCGCTCCACCTCAAGTCACTACTGCGCAGACTCTGGCTCCAAAAATGCAAGATGGCAGCCTCCACAAGCGTTCACTGCCACAGCCGTGGTGCTACTGCCTGAAAGGCCCGATCACCATGAGTTTTAAAACGAGTGCGCGGTACCACCAGCAGTCTCTGATCTAATGACTTTAAAGCTCGAGAAGATGAATGTGGTTTCTGCAGGTCAGATAGAATTTTGGGGAGCCTGACCATGTAGGGCCCTAAAGGTTAGAACTAAAATTTTAAAATGAAGCCTGAAACTTACAGGCTACCAGTGAAGGGAGGCCCAAACTGGAATGATATGAGATCTTTTCTTGGTGCCTGTCAAGAGACGTGCTGCAGCATTCTGCACAGTCTGAAGACGATTTAAGGCTGATTTGTTAAAACAAGTAAAAAGACCGTTACAGTAGTCTAAACAGGAGCAAATAAAAACATGAATAATCATTTCAAGTTCAGGCTTTGGCACCAGTAGTCTGAGTTTTGAAATATTGTGTAAATGATAAAAAACAGTTTCTCAGAATGCTGCTCGAGCGACATCGAGCTGTCAAATATGACACCGAGGTTTCTGAGGCTCGATTTTACAGAAGGGTCTAAGAAGCTGATATGCTGCCGTTTCAGTGGAATGCAATTTACGAAAAACAGACTGGAAAGTGTCCATAACAGCATTTTTATCAAGGAAATAGTTAAGTTGTTCTACTACTACTTTTTCTAAAATCTTCGATATAAAAGGCAGTTTGGATATTGGCCTATAACTGTTAGGAAGAGATGTCGTCATCCCTTGCCACGCATACAGGACTTACTTGGCAACGTGGGTGGCAACACATGGTTCTCGATATTGGATCAAGGAAGCGCATATCACCAAGGGTTTGTAAGTGAGGAATCCAGACAGCTCACAGCTTTAAATAAACCGTGGGGGCTTTATGAATGGATTCGAATCCCATTTGGTTTGACAAATGCACCTGCAGCATTCCAAAGGTGTATGGAGGGAGTGCTCTATGGAGTTAGAGATGAGTGCTGTGCTCCATATCTTGATGATGTGTTGTGTTATTCTACATCCTTTGAGGCACATGTCAACCACCTCAGACAAGTTCTGGGCCGCATGAGAGAACGTGGGCTCAAACTGAGATGCGTGAGTTGTTCAAAAGAGAGGTTCGTCATCTTGGACGTTTAGTATCAGGAGATGGAGATTGATCCACAGGACTTGGAGGCCATCTTGGCTCTGAAAGATAAAGTGCCTCACACTGTTAGAGATGTTAAGTCCTTGCTGGGATTCCTGGGGTACTATCGCTCCTTCATTCAAGACTTTTCTCGGTTGGCTAAGCCGCTGTTTGAACTTCTCCAGAAACCTAGCAGTGCTGACAAAGGTAAAAACAACAATCAACATGAGACAAATGGCCAGGAAAAACACCAATCATTTGGACAGCAGAGCACCAGGGTGTTTTGGCTAAACTTGTGGATGTGCTGACGACTCCACCCACCCTAGCATACCCAGACTTCAACCTTCCATTCATTCTACACACGGACGCATCCAGTGAAGGGTTAGGTGCACTTTGTACTTCCCCAAAGAGCTCCAATGGAACATATAACCACCAGCAGTCCTCTCAAGTTCCTTTGTATTGACTACCTACACCTAGAGCAAAGTCAGGGCTATGAGTACATTCTTGTTCTTGTCGACCACTTTACACGCTTTGTCCAGGCGTATCCAACAAGGAATAAATCTGGGAAAACCGCAGCTGACAAAATATTCCACGACTTTTGGATATCCAGAGAAACTCCACCACAATCAGGGGAAGGAGTTTGAGAACTGAACTTGTTCAGCAGGTTACAACGGCTGGCTGGTATTGGTCATTCATGAACAACGCCATATCACCCGCAAAGCAATCCAGTAGAGAGACTTAACCGGACCCTCCTTCAAATGTTGCATACTCTGGAGGAGG